CTACAGGTACATGAACTCGATCTTCCAACTTGAAGAGTCAAATCACTTACACATTCGGCAGAAATACTTCCGAACCCCAGAAGCGCAAAAGAAGACCAGCGATTCCGACATCTCCTACTACAGCAGCTCTCGGGTCGACAAACTGGTCAACATCCTCATCACCTTCATTATATTCTGTCTCCTCGTGGTACCAGTCATCACCATGTACCAGTTGACGAACACTGCCGCCCATATCGAGACCGACCCATCAGGCAAGACTTCCGCACAGAGTCAAGTGGACATTAACAAGCGAGATACATTCAACGCAGTTGGTGTGCTCATAGTATTCACATTACTGTTCAGTGCTGCGATGAGTCTGCTGACCAAGGCGGCAAGGCATGAACTGTTCGCGGCGTCTGCAGCCTACTGTGCGATCTTGGTTGTGTTCATTGGGAATTTCACTGGGCCTGGTAATTGACATTTCCTTATCGACGGCACTTATGAAATTACGATGATAAACGACATCTTCATTCACTCTATGTTGCATATCTATCTCAGTCCCAAGTTACCATAAGGTTGCATGCGAGGGCGACTGTCGCACAGTGAGGCGGTTCGTGGAAACTCTCGGACTTTTTTAATCCGCCACGACCTTCGTATCTTCGTATATTTCTACTTGCCGGCAATTCGGGGATTAGACTCTCCCGAGATCCCGCTGACCGGTATGCGAGGCTTGGCGTATAGTCAGCTTTAATGCGAAACTAACCGGTAGGCTACTTAATCCAAGCCCTTTACTACACCAAGGCACATATGATTGGCACCCCTACTGCTAGTAGGCACACATCAGTGCGGATGTAAGGTCTACAAGCCCTGGGCAATCGACTATCCGATACCTCTCACGTGAGATAACGCCCGGGCGTACCCAAGTATCGCTTGTGGCGCATGCATTTGGTTTCGCGTCGCTTAGACGCAAGACATATATTTGAAGTATCTGCCCGCACCAAAATTGATACGACTTCGGTAAATCACCTTCTCCTTCTTCTGTGAGGCACCCAGTGATTGCTTTCGCTTTCTTAAACATGTCCTTCCTATCGAACTACTTCACTGGGCAGCGAGTCGCTCCTCCTCGCATACCCACGGATACCATCATACCCCTCCACAGCCGCGACGACACGCATCAAAACAGAAACGTTTCAGTCGAATTCACCATGTGTTTTGACGATGTTCTTGATGAGCGGAAGCTTGTCGAAGCATTATGGAGGTTGCTGGAGAAACCGGGTTGGAGGAAGTTGGGAGCGAGACTGCGCCTCAACACCAGCAACGATAAACTTGAGTACCACATACCAGCACAGTACACCAAAGAACGCCCGCCAGTCAATTTCACCCATGGAATTTATGACAGCAAATTGAAGGACCATCCTCTTGGTTGCCAAATTCCTACTGCAAACGAGCGTAACGACAGTGTCCAGGTCTTCGGCGTTCTAGAGTCGCAACGTGGGGTTATAAGTGCAAAGGGCAATACTTCAGTCCTTGATGACTGGCTTTTTTCAGACGAAGCGCAGTTAGGCTTACATGTAGCGAGCTTCAAGGATGCGACACTCGTCACCCTGACTTGGCTACATACGCTTCTTGATGCGATGGGACGACAAACTCTACTAAGAGCCTGGACGGCAGTATTGGAAGGAAGAGACGAAGATGTGCCGGAGTTCTGGGGTTACGATTTCGACCCATTGACGCGGCTTGGAGCTTCTCTCGATGAGGACAACCAGGATGCAGAGGGTTTGAGTGCCGGCACTACGCAAGTGCAACAGAAACCGCAATCTCAGATCTGGATGCTGATGTCAAACTTGAAGACCTGGCTTCCAAGCTTGCTAGACCCCAGAGCGACGCTCGCATACCTCTACTCTCTGTTCTTTAGACCGACAACCACGCAGAACGGCCGTATGCTCTACATGCCCGCGGCCTACATGGCTCGCTTGCGAACTGAAGCAATGCACGATCTTGAATCTCTCGACGCCTCACAAATAACCTACAATACCTCAACATCTTCCGCACCAAAGCCCTTCCTCTCAGACGGCGACATCTTCTCAGCATGGTTAATCCGCCATCTCGTTTCCTCCGACACCTCACTGCTCAACTCACCACCTGCTCGACCCATCATAATCCTCAATGTCTTGGGCATGCGAGACGTACTGTCCACCTCGTCGTCCAAATACGAGGTCATGATTCCAAAAGGAAAAGCATATGTTGCAAACTGCACAGGTGGAATTGTTTCGGGGTTCAGTGTACAGCAGTTTGTCGGTATGCCGTTGGGTCACGTTGCGGCTCGTATTCGCAAAGATCTTGTTGAGCAGGCGAATAGAGAGGCGGTGGAAGCTTCGCAGCGTGCCAGCCGCAACGGACAGCAAAACCTTACGCCTCCGTCGGATCCGCAGATGGGGCCGGCAGCCTACGTGTTCTCAAACTGGGCAAAGGCGACGTTGTTTGATACAGATTTCAGCGCTTCCGTCGTTTCTGATGATGGTGATGCGGGTGGGTTGGCTAGTAGGCCGACCAGAGGAAAGCCTATGTATATCAGTGTTAACGGTCACGATAGACGGGTGGACGGTTGGGGTAAAAGCTCAGGGGGCATTGGTATGTGTGTTGGTAAGGATGCTAGGGGTGGGTATTGGCTTGGAGCAATCACCCCAGCAAAAGAATTTGCGGAGGAGTTTGAGAAGACTGTGTTGAGCGATTTCTAGGCCGGTGGGCGGGTCACCGAGATGGATAGCGTCACCAGCTTTGTTACTTCGGAATTGGCATCAGCATCTGATAGAAGTCTTCGAGTAGAATATACGGTAGGTGTTGCATTAGCTGAACGCAGAATTATTTCGCTCAATGACTACAGAAACTCCGGCCCAGTTGCCCCATTCGCTAAAGTGAAAACTCGTGAGAATATAATGCATCAAGGGCTGGGCTGATGCACTATGGGTATACGTGTGTGTTGTTCGTGGGGCTTGGTACATATGTGTGGGCACACCTTCGTGCTTCACCACCCCCATGCCTTTTTTCTAACGGAACATCGAGCGGTTTGAGAATCTAGTAGCGGACGCCATCGGCGGCAGCCTCGGTGTGTGACTGAACGGCCTTCTCGTGTTCGAGCCTGGCCTTTCGGCGGTGGTCCCTAATCTCGTGGAAGGAGGCGGTGATGGCATGGAGGAGTCTGGTAGCCAGTTAGCAGATGATTCAGGGATTTGGGCAGCGGAGAACATACGTGCTGATAATTGCCAGAATGAAGGTGCCCCAAGGCAAGTTACAGCTGTCATCACGGCTCGCAGTCGCGCCAGTAACAACACCAGTATTGCCATTAGCAATGCGCTCCGGGCTGTAGCAGTGACGAGCACCAGCAAGACCTCCGTTCGGTCGCGTAAGCACAGCCACTGCGATAAATGCTCCAACAAATGCAAGGTCGAGGAATACCCAGATCCATCGAAGTACTCGACCGCCAGGGTTCGCTGACTTCTTGATGCAAGAAAGTAGGATCGTGATCAAGGTATACAGCACGGCGGCGGCAAGAATGCCTTCGACTGCACCATAGCTGCCGTTGATGCCGCGATAGGTCTTGACGCTGTTGACAAGGCGATACACCTTATATAAGCGTTGAGAAAAGATGCCGAGTGAGACCACAGAGCTGATGAATTGTAGGAGGCGTGTGAAACGTAAGAACCAACGGTAGAAGGAAGTGTTCTTGAGCTTGTCCGGCACAAAGCCTAAAGATGGGTGTACGCAGTCAGTATTTGTCTCACATCCAGTTCATGGGTAGTTACTGACGCGTAAGAAGACCTGTTTGCTCGCGCTTGTCGGTGACTGGGTAGTCGACCGGACCGTCAATGGGCTCCTGGGCGTGCACCATGTTGATATGCTGGGTGTCGACGTGGATGGTATTGATGGATTGGTGAAATCTGCTGAATGCTGAAGATGAGGGCAGCGCGAAGATCTACTATCTTATAGCTCTGAGGATGGGGTGACAGCGATGTGACACAAAGACCAGGCCCCTCTTGCCCGTTTGACACGGTCGTCACTCACCGTCACCGTCAGCTTCGGTACCAGTCCCCCGCATCCAAATTAAACCTGGAATCGCGGAGATTTTGCTTAGGCTTGATGCACGGCAGTGGCATGTTGCCTTTGCGCTTTCTCGGCGCGTCATGAGATTGGATAGCTTTGAACGACAAGCCACGATACAGGCGTGATTGGTGGCTGGGAACCAATGCACGTGACACCGCTAACGCGTTGTTAACCAGATGCAGGCAAGTACGTCACTGAAAATCCCCATGCTTTTTCTTGAACGTGATTTGGAAATCCCATGCATGGAAAACCAGTTCCTTGCGCGTCACAGCCTCGTAGATCTCCAATGGCATATCCGTCGTGGCTGCCGAATCGCTCGATTCCTGAGCTGATCATCGTAGAATGACGAGCCACATTCGCGGGCGCTTGCTTTTTAGAGGCGATCGCGGTGAAGCTTGTTTCTGTGGCTTCAAGCTATAGGCAAGCTAAGGTTCCGTTAACCGATTCTCTCACGAAAACCAGATTGCGCGAGCATAGGGTGAACAGAATACGTTCCTTGATTCAAACGCCAAAGCGTCCAGAAGCGGTTGTGCGACGAACTTCTGCATGCTCGCCCTGCCAAACTTGTCGAGCGCTACTCGCATTCGGATCCAAATGCCAACACTGCATCGCTTGGTGCTGTCCTGATGGGGAGTCAAGCCTTGCGCCCGATACCGTCAAACATTTGGCATGCATCCTAGCTCCATCTTCCTGTCATGTTCGTCGTTGGCGACTTCAGACCGGTCGCTGCCAGTTTTTCAACATCCACTCCTCAATTGGTCCGGTCCTGGATGATGTTTGAACCGAAGTAAGAATGGCTGTTCCCCATGATATTCATCACCGTCTGGGTGCGGCTTTGTATGCCGAGGGATAGTGATGTGTCGGGTGAACAGGCCGTGACCGCGATGTCGACGATAAGCAAGTTGGGTTGATCTGATAGGCTAGGCATTGCTGGTGTTTGAGTTCAGGAGGGACTGTGAGTTCCACGTAATGTCGCCTTGCGGAATAGCTTGACCAATATGTCATACCACTGGATTCAATTCTCTTAATAACTTTCCATCAAGGTAAAATTGTATCTTTCCAATCTCTTTCGCTATTCTTCCCGTACCATGAAGCCGCTCATCGATGTATCTGATCATTTCGCGAAGGTAGGTTTCTGACTTGGCGAAGTCCACTGGGTACAGCTCCTTGAAATCCAGATGTGCCAGACCTTCAATCTTGCGGAAAGGTACTTCTGCAAGACCGATCTCTTTGCTGCCGTTTCCATACCTCCACGTATCAATGTTGATAGTCACAGTATCAATCCGAGTAACAGGTTTGTTCCGGCCAATATCTAGGTGTTCGTTCAACAATGGGTCGACCCATGTTTCCAAACCCCGGAAAACTTGTGATCCATGGCGTTTCATATCATCATCGACGAGTAAGAAGCGAGCCAGCGGGAACATCAGTCCTCCGGCGAGTATCAGGTAGAAAGTGGAGATGTCGACTACAGCCCAGCTTTCGTAAGCCCAGTCCGTCTGCAGATGACGTTCATTTGTGGTACAGCACGGGATTATGTTGATGTCTAATCTCTCCATGGTTCCTTCGAGCTCGCGCGCGGGAACAACGCGCCGTGTCGGCCACAGCCAGTGGTCATCAATAACTGCGATATCGACCTCGAAGTTCCGCGGCGCTTTTGAAAGAAATTCTTTGGTCTCGCGATACATTCGTTGACTAGTTAGTAGAAGGCTTGAAACTCCTGAATCCTTCAAATAATCCAGGCTCGGTACACAGCAAATGCTGCGCATGTCCGTCGGATAGCTGGGCCGATGACGCGTGCCATTCTTCGGTAAAACAGTAGGTGACGAGAGCACAAGGTCGATGATGTTGAAGAGCAGTTCGCTCGGTAGATCTAGAAAGCCGACCATAGCTGCTTGCTGGTAGAGGTCGCGACAAGGTTAGGTGAGGGAAGGTTGCATGGGTTGTTCGCGATGCCCGCGCAGGTAGGCACCGCAGCCCTGAGGCGCAGGCGCGGTTGACCCCACTTGAGCCTCGGGCCGATGGGAGCTCTCCCACACAGCCATCAACTCGCCATTGCCTGAGAACAGGCCCGACTTTGTTTGAGTCACATTGCAGTGCGCTCAATGCTGTTACACATACCATCGCATTACGGGTTCGACTGCACGCGTTCTCGCAGCATCGCACCCAGCCTTGAAGCCAGAGACCGCTTCGTTTTGGTTAGCGCGAATGACTCACTTTTGCTCACTCTGCCTGCGCCTCCTGCATGAGACTCAACAGCCCCCGGAGTCATATGTATCGCCTCATTGGGAAGCATGCTGATTCACGGAGTGAGTAACGGAGTGGAGTAAAGTGTTTAAGCGTGTCTCTTGTACAAGACATAAAGATCGCTGCACACTTACAAGAGATCAGAATCATTAGACGCCAGAGTCCTTTCTGACGCACTCGACATACCCCTTTCAATCGTCTTCTCTACATCTCGTTCTGCTTTTAGACATGGCGGCTACCGACCATACTTCTCCAGCGCGGATGTCAACGACTTCTTACGATACAGCGTTGTGCATCATCCCACCCGCTTCTCAATGCGGTCACGTAGATCAGCTGCGGGAACTTTACGACAAGGCCTATGGGAAGGTGAGCGAGACCCGCTCTGGATTCAGAGAAAGCACACATTGACTAGGGGTCTAATCTTTTTAGTGGCCACCTCACATCAACCTCGTATACCCTTTCGTTGCACCAGAGCAGCTTCCCAAAGCACAGGAGCAGATTCAAGGGTACCTGGCACAGCATTCCACCCAAGCGACACCCATCGATGTAGAACTGGTTCAAGCCGGTGGTTTCGTGCAAAAGAACAACTTCACCGTATTTCTTGGTACCGATGACCGTGGTGAGGAAGACTCGCCTCTCGTTTCGCTGCGTACGACTGTACTGCAAGCACTAGGCCAAGGTCCTTCTCGATTTACTCCCCACCTCACTATCGGTCAGACACAGGGTAATCCTCTGCTCTCACAGTCATACCTCTTACGCAAGGCTCAAAGATTACCAAACATACACTTCCGCGTCGGCACGCTTGCTATCCTTATTCGTGAGAAAACGACTGGCGCGCTGTCAACTGATTACATGCGGTTGTATGGAACTATCGATATTGGCGGTTCAGGCGATGTTTGGAGACCTCACATTCCAGACTACTGGGTAAAGATGCCCAAATCTAATCCGGCTGCACCCCGACCGGATGTCGATGAAACTCAGCATGATTTCTTACTTGAGGATTTCGAGGTGCGCGACGTGCCAGCCCTCTGCTTCGATCCCAACGAAGCCAGATGGTCACCGCACACATGCGATACTAGGATCGAGGTTGAATCAGAAGAAATCACTGTTGCGAGTTACAATGTCCTGGTAGACACCGAGTATCCGCCGGACCATGACCGCGACCCGTTGATTGTGGACACCATCCTATCAGAACAAGCGACGGCCGACATATTAGTACTGCAAGAGGTCTCCGACGACTTTCTTGACTATCTACTTTTCACTCGTCAGGACATTTCACACATATACCCATTTGTTTCGCATGGTCCGCCATGCCAAAACGATCTAGGTCCTCTCCCCAGTCTACGGAACGTCGTCGTTCTGAGCCGCTATCCTTTTAGCTGGCATTCAGTACCCTTCCATCGCAAGCACAAGAGCGCTCTCGTTGCGCGATTGAGTGGCGTCACGGCATCTGGCACTAGGGGCTTGGGGAGCTTAGTTGTAGCTGGAATTCATTTGACTGCCGGTCTTACTGATGGCTCAGTCGCTACTAAGAAAGCTCAGATGGGGACTTTGATACGCCATCTAGAACAGCACTATGGAAGCGAGCCATGGGTCATCGCAGGGGATTTCAACCTGGTCACGTCGACTTACACCATTGAGACCTCCGTCAAAGACCAGTCCATATCCAGCGAGACTGTATCCCTGTTAGCAACAGTTGAGGCCGAGATTCGGGAAGCGGGGTTATCTGATGCTTGGTCTGTTGCCCGTGTTGAAGGAGTGGACGAAGCGAGTACAACTGTATCTGGAGATTTGTTCGAGGGCGAAGAGGGCGCGACATTCGATCCCCAGAACAACCGACTTGCCACAGGAACGACTACGACTTCTCACGATCGGCCACAGCGTTACGATAGGATACTATTTCGGTCGCAGGATTCACTTCGCATAGACCGCTTCAACCATTTCGGCGTTCCGGAGATGATCGACGGTGCACAGGTCGCAGCCAGTGACCATTATGGAGTGAGAGCGAAGATTAAAGTGAACGAAGCGGTAGCGAGCACCGGAAATGAAGCAGCCTCTTCAAATCAGCCTGCCGTGGAACACAAGCGAGTAGATGGAACTTTGGCAGAGACCACGAGCCTCGTTTCAGTGCTCGAGACCCACGGCATGTTCCCGAACGAGGATCAAGCGAGCAATCGGCGCGACGCACTTGCAAGCCTCCAGCACATACTACTGGGTACATCAGACGATGGAGATCTAGCGCAACCTGATATACCATTGGTTATAGTGCCAGTTGGCTCGTACGCCTTGGGTGTATGGACTGCAGACTCGGACGTCGACTGCCTTTGTATCGGCACCATTAGCTCTAAGACCTTCTTCCGGCTCGCTCGGCAACGACTTGCCAAAGCAGAAGTCAAAGGGGTCAGGATCTTGCGGAAAGTTGAGGCCAGCACCGGCACCATGCTCGAACTGTCCGTCAACGGCATATTCATGGATCTGCAGTATTGTCCTGCGCCCCAGGTCATTGAGAGGTGAGTCTCATGAAATCATTGCGATATAGCAGCGCTAACATTCAGCAACTAGGTGGCATGAGTTCCGGAACATCCCGGCATCCGATCCCATCTTCAACCTTTCTATTCTCTCACTCCGCAAGCTCAAGCCTTACCGCGATTTGCTATACATTCAACGTACACTGCCTTCACTCTCTGCATTCCGCCTAGCTTATCGTTCCATCAAGCTATGGGCTGTCCAGCGCGGCATGTATAGTGCGAAGTTCGGGTTCCTTGGAGGCGTACACATCACGCTCATGCTCTCATGGGTCTGCAAAAGACTTGGGCATGATACCGGCCCAGTTACGGCTGCGGATATCATTGCGAGTTTCTTCCATCACTACGCTCAGTTTGATTGGACAAACGATATAGTCTACGATGCCATCTTCCACAAGAAGAGGCCACGTTACTATCGCAGCGCAAGAGAGCCGATGGTGGTGTTGGGTTACCACGCACCCAACTCGAATATCGCTCATACGGCTACGGTTCCCGGCCTGCAGCTGCTCGTCAAGGCATTCAAGACCGCCGAGAAGCAGCTTTGCGAGCCGGGAATGACATGGGAGGCGTTCTTCGGCGCACCATCTGCTCCAGAACCAGAGTCGCAACTCCCTCATGGAGCTGCAGAGTTCCTCCGCAACTACAACAACTTCGTCAAGGTCGACATCCAGTTTTGGGGTCGTACATTGGCGAAGGGCAAGAGCCTAGTCGGTTGGGTTGAGTCTCGGTGCATCTCGCTCGTCATAGGTAAGCCGCACATTTCAAACAATTGTTGCGCAATCGTTTTACTAACCTTGATAGACATCCACAAAGCTATACCCAAGTCGGAAGTCCAAATCTGGCCAGCTCGCTTCGTCGACAGCAATTCGTTCGACGTTGGAGAGGGCAAAGAGTACCAAGGCTGTTACCTGATCGGCATCTCGAAATCGGAGAAAGCCGTCTCAGCACATAGCGCGGACGACAAGCAAGTCGCTAAACAAGCTCTGGAAAAGGTACTGGACCGTTTTTTGACGCAGCTGCGAACCGACGAAAAGAACTTCGACGCAAGCATTTCATGGATCGATGCTTCGCTAGTAAGATCTAGCGAGGTCAAAGGCTTGCGACTGGACGATCGAGAATGGGGTGTCTACGCGATGGACATGGATTCAGACTCCGACGATGAAGAAGAGATTGATGAAGACGTTGAAGACGTCGATGAGACCAAACCTCAGCGTACGATACCTCAGCGCCCCAAGCCCACTTCAGCACCTTTGTCGAGAACAAAACTACGTCCTGCATCCGATGTTCTCAACCGTCTCCGCTGGGACCCAAGCTTGGATCCGAGCGATTACATCATCGGATATGAAGACCGCTTTTTGGGCGCGAAGGAAACAGGTCTCGAAAAGTGGAAGACAGAGCAGACGGATGAGGAGTTTATTCCTCAGCATCGCATACTGTATTTCAAGAAGAAGGGTGGAGAAGACGGAAGAGGAGATGTAGTATGGGAGAGAGCGACGAGGATAGACAAGATTTTCGGGAGTGGACTAGGTAGTGGTGAGTAGATACTGGTCATGATCACGAGAATGGAGATCAGGTCGCAATATACCTATACACTCAAAATGTGCTTGCAGTTCCTCTTGCGCTTCATGGGGACGCGGCGTACTTGTGGGCGGCCTTTTCATTCGTGACTTAAACATGAGGAAGATGACACATCTGGTTCACCTCAGGTCATAGGCATCTTTGTGCCCTGTCTCCCTAGCACGCATGTTCCCTTCCCAACGGCGTTCGGCCCGGCCCGCTCAGAACAAAAGCGGTCTACTCTGGTGTTGCCTTCGCGAATGCCTCGATAACTATCTCTTCGAATTGAAGTATATCCTCATGTTTGAAGATCGTTTGGAACGCCGTCTTAGCACAACCTTTGCACTTCAGCGATGCGA